GGCACCCATGGTCTTGCCGGCTGGAGAGGGGAGAAATGAGGAAGCGAGTGGACAAGGCCAGCCTGGGCGGGAAGCCGCAGCAGCGGAAGGGGAAGGAGCAGGAGAATTAAGTGGAGAAGGCCCCTCGGCTGCTGATGCTGCAGGCCTCGAGGATGGCGGGAACCAAGAGGGCGCCAGTGGCGGCGCCCGGGAGAATGAGCAGCGACCTCAGGAGCCGGTTCACGAGGGCATGGGGGGCACCGAGGGTGTGCAGTCTGTGCCAGCACTGGTGACCCATGCCCAGCCTGTGCCACGTACAGTATGTCGTGTACAGCCTGTATCAGTTACAGCTCCCCGGGTACAGCCTATGCCACCTATGTTGCCCTGTGTACAGCCTGTGCTAATTAATGTGCATAGTGTACAACCTGTGTCAGTTAGGGCGCCCCATGTACACCCTGTGTCAGGCACCTTTCCCTGTGCACAGCCTATGCCAGTTATGGTGCCCAATATGCAGCCTGTGCCAATCACTGTGCCCAGGAGACGGTCTGTGCCCATTAATGTGCCCCGTGTCCAGCATATGCCAATCACTGTGCCCAGGAGACGGTCTGTGCCCATTAATGTGCCCCGTGTCCAGCATATGCCAATCACTGGACCCAGGAGAGGGTCTGTGCCCATTAATGTGCCCCATGTACAGCCTGTGTCAGGCACCTTTCCCAGTGCACAGCCTATGCCAGTTATGGTGCCCAATATGCAGCCTGTGATAGTTACAGTGCCCAATGTACAGCTTATGTCAGGGCTTCTGCCCGGATTAGAGCATGTGCCACATATGGTGCCCCATGTACAGTCTATGTTAGTAATGGTGCCTGTATGGCCTATGTCAGTAACACTGCCTGGTATGCAGCCTATGCCAATCGCTGTGCCCAGGAGACAGCCTGTGCCTGTTAATGTACCCCATGTACAGCCTGTGCCTGTTAATGTACCCCGTGTACAGCCTGTGCCTGTTAATGTACCCCATGTACAGCCTGTGTCTGTTACTGTGCCCCAGGTACAGCCTGTGCCTGTTACTCTGCCCCAGGTACAGCCTGTGCCTGTTAATGTACCCCATGTACAGCATATGCCAATCACTATGCCCAATGTACAGCCTATGCCAATCACTATGCCCAGGAGACGGCCTGTGCCCATTAATGTGCCTATGCCAATCACTGGGCCCAGGAGAGGGCCTATGCCCATTAATGTGCCCCGTGTCCAGCCTATGCCAATCACTGGGCCCAGGAGACGGTCTGCGCCTGTTAATGTGCCCTGTGTACATCCTGTGCCAATCACTGTGCCCAGGAGACGGCCTGTGCCCATTAATGTGCCCTGTGTTCAGCATATGCCAATCACTGGGCCCAGGAGACGGTCTGTGCCTGTTAATGTGCTCCATGTACAGCCTATGCCAATCACTGGGCCCCATGTCCAGCCTATGCCAATCACCGTGCCCAGGAGACAGCCTATGCCTGTTAATGTGCCCCACGTACAGCCTGTGCCAATCACTGTGCCCAGGAGACAGCCTGTGCCTGTTAATGTACCCCATGTACAGCCTATGCCAATCACTATGTCCAGGAGACAGCCTGTGCCTGTTAATGTGCCCCACGTACAGCCTATGCCAATCACTATGCCCAGGAGACGGTCTATGCCCATTAATGTGCCCTATGTCCAGCCTATGCCAATCACTGTGCCCAGGAGACGGTCTGTGCCTGTTAATGTACCCCATGTCCAGCCTATGCCAATCAATGTGCCCAGGAGAGGGCCTGTGCCTGTTAATGTGCCCCATGTACAGCCTGTGCCAATCACTGTGCCCCATGTACAGCCTATGCCAATCACTGTGCCCCATGTCCAGCCTATGCCTGTTAATGTGCCCCATGTACAGCCTGTGCCAATCACTATGCCCAGGAGACAGCCTATGCCTGTTAATGTGCCCCGTGTCCAGCATATGCCAATCAATGTGCCCAGGAGAGGGCCTGTGCCTGTTAATGTGCCCCATGTACAGCCTGTGCCAATCACTGTGCCCCATGTACAGCCTATACCAGTTAAGGTAACTAGCACACCACATATGCCAGTTCCTATTGCACAGCCTATGCCAGTCAGAGTGGACTGTGTACAGCCCACACCAATTATAGTACCCAGTGTTCAGTCTATGCCAGGGATGGTGCCCAATGTGCAACATGTGCCATTTATGGTACCTTGTGTCCAGCCAATGCCAGCTACAATGACCCATGTTTCACCTGTGCCGCCTGTGCCCTGTGTGCCGCCTGTGCCAGCAACAGTGCCCCGTGTGCAGCGTATGCCAGCAACGATGCGCCGTGTGCGGCCTGTGTCGGTTAGGATGCCACGTGTACAGACTATGCCAGATACGGCGCCCAATGTACAGCCTCTGCCAGCGCTGCTGTCCCGCCGCCGTCTCCGTGACAGGTTTATGAGGATGCACCTGCAGGAGCCAGAACGGTTTTTCCAGAGAAATGACTAAATGCTGAAGAAGGGTAAGCACCTTGTGTGGCTTCAAGTCCTTTCATAGGGAACAAGCTGGTACAGAGAGGCCTCTGGATCCTGGTAGCTGTCCTTCCTGTCTTCATTCACTGAAATGTTCAGATCACATTTTGAAGTTTTATTTTGTCTTGGAATGAGTGTGTGTGGGGAAGAGAAGAGCTGTGTCTCACATTGGTAGTTCAGAGGACAGCTGGAAGGACTTGGTTCTCTCCTTGCAGGATGTGGGTCCTGGGCTCAAAATCATCTCCTCAGGTTGGCAGGCAGGCATGTTCATCTGCTGGCCATTTTGTCTGCCTCCATTTTGCCCTCCAGAACTAAAGCCACCCACACATTCCAGCCTGCAAGACCCCTGCCTTGCTGTCCCAGGGTTCCACACAGGAGTGGAGCTCCTCTCATGTACTATTTAGGTGAAACAAGTAGAAATGTTTGTCCAGTGCCTGTTGATCTAAGTAAGGTCCTGTTACACCAGGCCTAGGAAGCCTGAATTATGGTTGGAGTAATACAGGGTACCACTCTGCCTTTGTTTAAAATGTTGATACATTTGTACATCGTGTATATTTTGCCTTTGTGTTTACTATTAACACATGGGCACAGTTCTCTTAATCACTGTTCTTGGCATTTTCTGAAAATTTCTGTGCCCTACCCAAAGAAAGATGTCCCTGCCTCTGTCTATGCTCTCCCACATATCAATAAGAAACTTTCTCCATCATACCTATGCTCTCCCATACATCTATAAGAAACCTTCTGCATCATACTTTCGACCAATCATGTCGCTTTCCTCCTTATTTCTTTTTTCATTCTTCTGTTGCTGAAACCCAGGGTGGGACATGTTCCTTTCCTCCTTATTTCTATTTTCATTCTTCTGGTGATGAAACCCTGAACCAGTCATGTTCCTTTCCTTTTTTATTTATTTATTTTTTCAGTTATCTGGTGCTGAAACCCGGGAATGGCATAAATGGGCTCCCTTCTGGGGAACTCGGCCATTCCTAGACTAGCAGCTAACCTGACTCTCCTAAGGTATGTGGGGATCATTTGTTTCTGCCGGCTTCTGCCACCCACAACACTTGATTCCAAACTCTTGAGTCTTATTCCTCAGCTGCTGCCTCCCTCTATCTGCTTTCTACCTACTTCTCCTATCTCTCTGCTCTTCGGCCTGCTAAGCCCTCCATGTGGGCACCTCCACACTCTAGACATGTTCCTCTGACCCTCAGCCTGCTGCTCCTCTGGCCTGCTACACGCACATGGACATCTCCCTTTTCTCCTGCTCTCTCCTCTGTCCTTATCTACTGAATAAGTGTCACCTCAAGCTGCCTGCTTTGTTTACTGTTACCACAAAAGCCACACCTGTGTGCCAGGAAGTTCCTCTCACCCCCACTCTGCTCCAATCACAAGGACAAGGGACCCCTTTCCTCTGTGATTTGGAACAGTTTTCTCTCTGACAAGTTTCCCATTCCACTTGGGATGCCCTGGATGGAAATTCTTGTCACTAAGACATATTATCTACCTCAGCTACTCACATTTCCTCGCCCTGGCCTGCTACAGCCATCTGGGTCTCTCTACTCCTGGCTCCCTTTGACCCTGTATCCCCCCTCCCTCCTCCTCTCCTTACATGGCTGTCTGGTCTCATCCACTCTGGACTCTCCCAGATGTCCCTGCCTCTGGCTGTGCTCTCCCATAAATCTATTACAGACTCTTTCCTCCACCATACCTTGGTGAAAGTCATGTTCCTGCTTTTTTATTATGTCTTTTTTACTTTCAGTATTAATAATATATACGTATATACATATATATGTATATGTACACATACATTCAAGTCCTTTAATCTGGTATCCTTCGGGTAGGGCTTCTCTGTGGAGTAGTCCTGGGGTTATGACATATAAAGGATTCAAATTAGTGTACCTAGGGGTTCCATGATGCTAAAGTGTTTGAAATACTGAAAAGTAAGCATGGATTCTATCCTTACAGGACAATTTGGGTGTGTGGATAGTGGACAGGCAGAACCCGGCACTGATAATGCTGATGTAAACTTGGTTAAAGAGAGTGTGATAAGAATGGGAAAGCGTAGAGTCCAAATGCCCGGTCCCTCTGTTGTTTTGAAGCATCTGGTGAGTCCACACATATAAGGACACCCAGCTTTGTAATTATCCGAAGCACGCTGGTGCATCTGCCTGAAAATCCTGCTGACTTCTCCAAGAGTGAATTACTGTAGGGAGGGGGCAGGGCATGCAATGTTTGGACATTTGTCCAGGGACTGTTCTGCAGTACTGGGGTGGAAACCAGTTCCTCCCACATTCTAGGCAAGCAGTGGACTCTGTCCCAGCCCCTCAGCCTCACACAGCATTAGAGTAGGGAGACAGCAGGTTCTTCTGTGCAATCTAAATTATAGAGAGCAGCTAATGTCACAGGATGTCTTTTCTGATTATATCCTGATTACCCTACTGAACAAATCCCTCTTCCCTCTCATTGCAGAGATGGTTCAGGAAGAGGAGAGAACAGATCTGGTGAGGGAAGAATCTGCCAGGACTTAGCAGTGCTCCTCCTGGGACACGCTCCACCTCAATCTAAAGATTGTGCAGGTGCCCCACTGTGTCTGCCTTGACCAGGATCCACTTGTAGATACATTTTTGTCTTTCGCCCACATGTTGATACATCTTTCTTCCCTAAGGTCCTGTATTTGAAATAAATGGTCTTTCTTCATGTGTCTTCTGCATTAGTATGGTATGTATGACAGTTATCAAGGAAATGCCATTTAAAGAAAATGACAAGGTCTCCTTCTGTGGGGGGGACATCACTGAGTGAGCATCAGTAGCCTTTTGTGTCATGGGAGTTTGTCAAGTGGTGTTTACGTTGGCCCATAAATTCACCTGTCCTCCATCATAGTGTTTTCATCCTCACCCTGACCATGTTGCACAACAGATGTCATTGAAAATCTCTAGGGATACAGTGTTTATCCAGACAGAGCTGGTTCTGGCCATACCTGGGATTTCATACCCACCGTTGTCTCGGAGAAACTTTCCAAGAGGGTACTCGCAGGATTCTCAGGAAACAACAAAGTGCATTCATTTAGGCAGCTCCCAGAATTGCTTACTGTCCTCCACTTCTGTGGAGACTACAGGGCATTAGCAGCCACTCTGCCAGAGGTCCTGCTGCTTCAAAGGGAACAGAAGAATTGACTCACCCAGACCAGTAGGAGGCTTCTTTCTTTTGGCTTCTACTGCTAGGAGAGGAGCTGACTGACACTTTAAAAAGTGTATTTCTAAATTACACAGTTCTTGAGTTTCAGAAACAATAATTTCTGAACTGCACAGTCCTTATCTTTAGCTGCTTCTAGAGGGGAAATACTAAAGGTTTGGGATGCTGCAAATAGAACAGGTGGGAATGTATTGGTCTGGTTCCCTAGACTTGGCGCAGCACAAGGGAAGCATTTCTTCCAGCTTCTTCTCAGTACCCACAGCAGGATCCCTATAGGGTTTTCTGCAGCAACATCTGGGAGTGGCAGGACCAAGCAGGCTGAGCCTGGACTCTGCAGCCTGTATAACCAGTTCCCTCCTCTCCCTTAACTCTCTGAGGCCATGTAATTTCTTAAACAGTTCCTGATTAAATTTAGGAACCACTTAAAATTTCAAGGAGCACCCAGTGTGCTACATTATTGTGTCCATTCTTCTGGCTCTGGGTGGCAACCACGCAACTGTCTTGTCATTTTCTAGGGTTTCCAATGGTGCAGAGGGACACTGAATGGAAGCTGGAAGTCTTTTTCCTAATGCTGCCATGAGAACCAGTCTCTAGCAGCTCAGGGATTGTAGGAGATCCATGGAGTTGGCAAATTAATCATTCAACTTGACTTTTCTATCTGAAGGAGTAAAATTAATTCCCTAGGATTGGCAAGGGGGATAAACTTAACTCTCTGGGGCTGGCAAAAAAGAGAGACACACACACATACATACAAGTAGACACACACACACACACACACACACACACACACAGTTAGGATCTTTCTATCATCTTTTGACTCTGTTCTCTCTTCTCTTTATTTTTCCTTTATAGCTTTTATACCCCAACAAAATCTTTCAGGCAATATAAAATCACAAAGTGGCTACATTCTATTTTTTCAAGTGAATGATTATAATGAATAAAGGTAAAAAACATACTTCTCATTTCCCTTACATAATTGAACATCCTACATACTATAGATGTAAAACAAATTATCCCAAGAACCCACATACATTCATGTCCAAGCAACTTGTTATACATTAACAGTGTAAGCAAGCAAGCAAGTTATTTTTCTCAGCCAGGTCTTTTTCTGGCAGGCTGCATTTTGTGGTTACAAAGAAAGGATCAACCATTTTATTACTTATCTCAAAAGGTAATCTTATAAGGAATCTTAAAAGAAGACCAAGCCTAAATTTTATATATGAAAAACAATCAGTCAGCTTGATTTTAAATTCTTAGAGTGCAAACCTAGTCATCAACAGTTTTTTTTATATATATCAGGAAGCTGAGGACAGAAATGGGTACAAGGAATTAATCATCATCTTTCATCACCAACCCATCCTAGCAAGAAAAGCACACAAGCCAGCAGTAGCCAGGCTACTATTGTTCCTGCCCCCTGACCTCAACAAATCCTTCACTCAGCTATTAAAAGTATGCCTGCCGGGCGGTGGTGGCGCACGCCTTTAATCCCAGCACTTGGGAGGCAGAGGCAGGCAGATCTCTGTGAGTTCGAGGCCAGCCTGGGCTA